CCGGCCGTCGCGCATAATGTAACACGACCCCCGAAGATGGCGTTGATATTACCTGCCAGAACTGGAAATGGTTAGTATCTATGCAAACATCTATCAAGTCTTCAAATTATAGTAGCGACTGACAAATCTTTCGGTTTCGGCTTAAAAATCTAGTTTCGACCAATATATAGTCAAAATTTACGAAAAGTTGAATACATAATAAATCTTATGTCTTTTCGGAAGTTTCTATTTCGATTTTGGAGAAATAGGGAGCTAGTCACTAAATTAAAACTCGTTCAGAAATATAAAAACCACGAGGTATTGCAAAAAATATGGAAGTAAATTCTTTGTGCACAATTCACAATGTAACAGAGAACCAGATGAAAGCGACCCTATTGGTGGGTATTTTTATTTTCGGTTAGTGTGATTGCACAAATTGTGTTTTTTTTTTTCAGATTCATTAATGAATGATCACGTGACGCTCATGCAAATCGACTGCTCCGTTGTGAACACATCTCTAGTCAAACTTAAATCCGACGCATTACCTGAGAGTTTAAGGAAAAGTAGAAATAATGAATCGAAAAATCCAATCCCTGTGTATAATAACCCCAAAACTAGATATAGTAAAAACGGCTATGTTAGAAGCAACAAAGATGCAATTGACGCTAGTCTCTCGGATGTTATGAAGAATTCAGGTAATAACGCATCCAATACTGTAGAAAATAAGAACCAAGGTAGTATTAACAATATTGACGCGAACAGTGACATATTTGCACAAATATTAAACCCAAAAAGGTTTGTTAATAACAAAGAAACAATAGAACTAATCAAATCAAAAAATAATACCTTAGTATAAAGCTGGTCTTTATTTAAATTTCATAAAACTGTGCAGTACGTATTCTATTCTTAATACAGTCAAATAGTGAAACGAATCATAAACATTGTAAACGCGATTCGCAATCTCACAAGCGTCAAAAATTTAAGAGAATGTGGTGTTCAATCTTGGTTTTATCATTGAATACGTGTGACATATGAAAATGGCGTTTTAATATTCGGCCGTAAATCTTGTAATCAGGTGAAGTTAGCATAGAATTAGCAAAATGTAGTGCGGTTTAACGATTTGACAATATTCAAGCTTTGGCGTTGATGTAGGCATAGTAGGGAAGATCGTGTTTTTAACTTAATTGTAATATACATGCTATTTGATATTCCAAATTCTTTAGACTGAAACACATGTGATTTATGCTTAAGGTGACCAGAGAAGTATTAATGTGTTTCTTTTAGCAAGTAACCTAAAAACTCCCATTAACAGCTCTCATCTCTTTAATAACGCCTTCTTAAATGTAGAATGTAGTCTAGCTATAGAGAGGAAAAGTTACGTTGCTAGTATTTAGATTTAATTGTTAGCAAAGCTAGGCAAAGCAAATTGTATTTGGCTATGACCCATTGGACCTTTTTTCCCATTAGGATTGCATAACATAACTTACTATATCCTTAGTACAATACCCCACCATGACCATGTATAAGTGTTAGGGTCTGTCCAACCACTGGCTGATAGAGGCTCAGATAGCTTAAAAGTGACGTCTCTGTCAGATAGACTACCAAAATCCGATATTTCAATCACATATTATATACATTTGATTTTTATCTGACAATTTACAAGAATTGTGGGACAGGCCCTTACAGCAAAATTATTTCTAGATATTACATCTAAGAATATCTTAAATATCTGTTAGAATGTATTTCAAAGCTGTAATTAGTGATAGAGTTTAGTAATTGTTAAATTGATGGTAAAATATTGTTTGGTTATTTATGTAGTAGATCCATTTCAGTTGAATTTATACTTAAGTAAATTTTATATGAGCACAATTATAGAACATGTGCAGATGGTTTGTTAGTTGTCAGTTTTCGCTTAGTAATTTTTATATCTCTGTGAAGAATAACAGCCTTACATATAAATGTTCTATAAAGTTAAACTCAGAAATAAACTGAGTAAAATTTGTTCTAATTTTTGTAAGGCTGTGTTTGACTTAAATTTATAGTAAATATCTATGAGTGCTGCTAATAGCATAGAGCAACATTTCTTGTTTAAATTTATAAATCTTATTTAGATTTTAATATTATTATACTTTGGTTGTATTTAATATGCTCTGATTTTGTTGAATTTTTAACTTGGTATTATATATATATTTATATTATCTTCTAATTTTGTTGTTCATGTTATTTTATTTTAAAATTTTAGTATATATAAATATTTATCAATTTATTAAGTACATATCTTTTAGGTATAAATTATAATTACCACCAATATATATTTAACCTTAGATCTCACTATTATTTACATTATTGTGGTGTTCCAAAACGATTCTGATTAACTACAACATATATCGATTCTTTCTTTATTTAAAGCAACAAAAATTGTCCGTTTGAAGTTAATGTGCTAATGTTATCTACCAAATTTTTTTTTAAACTTCCAATTTGTGTCTAATGAATGTGTTTGAAGCAAATAAAAGTTATTTAAACATTATTTTGTATATGTTTTTTATATTATGCTATTGTCATTTAAAATGTAGGAATCATTTGTTATAAACTTTATAGATTTTAAAATATTTTCAAATTATTGTTATTTGCATTAATCATAGTTGTTTATATTTCGTTTTCTATTTTATATGTAACTATTTTCTTAGTCTTACCCAAATGTTATAAAACATCATTCTTAAATTGTAATGCGAGTAAAAATAAAATACGATAATACAAAAAGTGTGTTCATTTATTGTAAGCATAGACCATATACAAAAAATATTGCTTCTAAAAAAAATTTACGTTATGTTTTGAGTTTAACAATTTTCAGCAATAAAAATTAAAAAGGTAGTCTGTAATGTATCTGACGAATAAATTCTTTTGTTACAGAACAAGAAATAGTTTTATGTACTATATATAAATAATAATAAATAATAGACTAATTAAATAGGTCTTAATTAATTACGTCAATAAAATAAGCATAAATAATTAAAAAAACGTTGTTGTATTTTGGCTGAAAGATTGTTATGTTACTGACAAAGGTTTTAAAAAATTTGGAAATACATATGTCAGTTGTCAATTGAATGACAGCACCGTTGACAGTGATAGGTGACAGTAGAGCTAACGATTGTACATATTTAATTTTATTAATTGTGTAATGTGAACCAAATAATGAAAGAAATATAAATTATTATTTACTATAATCACAATCTTAAGTAATATTTTATGTTCTAAACATATTTTACATCAAAAAGTCTTTTTGAAACAAACTCATTTTCGAAGTCTAAAAATGAACTGCTTACGATTACTAAGAAGCCACAACATACGATTATTACAGAACCAAGCAATTCTCAGAATATCTAGGCTCAGTTACGTCTCACAGCATCCTAATAAATTCATCGAAACCCAAAACAGACTACGAGAAAACGACGGAGTTTCGAAACAATGGCAATTAATATACAAAGCGCCTATGGAGAAGATTTTGCAGTTTGCGACGGCTTACTTAACTTTTTCTCTTGCAACGATTTCTTGTGGCTTAGTGTATTATTCAGTTTTTATATTTGACACAGCTACAATGTACGAGCCCGTTATATTAGGGGATGATGTTGTAATTGCAAATAATTCAATGGAATGTCTGATTTATTTGGGATCATTTGTATTATTACATGCAGCTGTGAAACTCCTTTTGTCTAAATATGTTGTCCGTTTGTATCAAAAAGGTGATAATTATTTGGCCATTTTTAGAGGTCACACATATAGTTCAATTAATAAACATGAATTTCACTTAAATGAGTTTAAAAAGTTGAAACCTTCATCAATCGTAACTTGGAGTGATGCAAGATTTGCTCTTGGAAAAAAGAAAGGAATTCTTCTTGAGGATTATTTTAAAACTCCAGAATATTTTAACTATTTATTATATAAAAGAAATGCACCTGATTCTGATGACCATTAAGAAGAGTTATAATCTGTTTTAACTAAATGTAAATAAAATAGCTAAGTGATAATTTTCTTTTCTTTTTAATACATGAAACCCTAATGAAGTATTAGTAATAATAGCAGCTTAGGATTTTCAGTGTCACAGACTTCCTTCCATACAAATAAATTCACTGACATCAAAGTAATGTCAAATGTAAATTTTTAAAATTAGATATTTTTATGGAACTATTGTGAAACAAATTATGGCAATGAACCAATGCAAGTTTTGCCCCAATTTTTGGTAGAGTAAAACTGCTACTGACACACACTGATTATAAACTTTACCTCTTGAATATGACAGGAAGGTGTATTAACAAGTAGTAATAAAAACTATGGTTTAATATTGTACTGTTTTATTTCTACTAAAACTAAAGGATAAATAATCAATTTCTATATTAAAATCCTCCTCCATAGGCATTGTTCCATTTATGTCTAGAATCCTTTTTTATTGTAGTTGAATCCATTTTATTTTTATCATTATCAAATTTGTCCAAGGCTTCAACTTGGTTTTGATGAGGAGCTAAAGTTTTTGTTACTATACACTCGCCATTTTCTTTTAAAATTGTATGGTTTATATCCTCTTCACTTGGTTCACCATAAGGAAAACTAATTGGTGTCAGTTTGATAAGGTGTTTTATCTTCCATAATCTGCTATTTATTTCAGGTATGTTTTTAACGATTGTTACTCGGTTCTATAAAAGATGAAAAATTAATGAAATAAAAATAATATGTAAAATCCTAGTTTTACAGGACCATAAATAATAATGACATTTTTGTTACATAACTATAATGAGCAATATTTCCTGTAGAAAGTTAACATTTAGTGATGAGTTAAACTGAAACACTGCACATAACTAATTTCATTCACTTTTACTTTTTTTATCTAATACAATTTAAGCACCTTCTTCCTTTCAGAGGTTAATATTTTTAATAATGTGTAATTCCATTACAGTTAGACTGGCTGGTTACAAAAGTTAAAACATTAAAACAAAAAAAAATACATACTTCTTCATCAATTTTAAGTTCTCTCAAAATAAGTTTTTGCCACCACGGATTATTTTTAACAGGACGAATTCTTTCTACCCTAAACAATTTCGATGGTGTGTATTCAGGGTCTTTGTAATCGGGAGACCTAGAAAAATAAACATATGCTATTAATGCTCAAACAAATTCAGTTTGTCATTATCCATATATATACTATATTCATGAAGATTACACATATTTACCTAGGGAAATAAACAATACCTCCGGGGTATCGTAATCCACCACGAGCCCTAAAACCTTTCGAACGATAAAACGAAGTAAATACGGGATTCAATATTTTCAACAACTGCCGATCCATTTTATGTACACAGTCAAATAGTACTCATAACAAAAATTACAGTGTACTATTTGTTGTTATTAGTCTCTTAATTTCTAAGAATTAATTTCTCCAATTCCTAACCTTTCAAATTCAATCAAAATTCTAAATTGACAGATATTTGACAGTGACAACATTTCCCCCACAGAATAAATAACAATAAAAAATAACACTTTTTGCTCTATTACAATTGTATGTAACTGTTTTTTATTTTTATACAATTTTCAAACTATAAATAAAGATACTAACTATTTATCGTTAAAATTTTTAAAGAACTTTTAAAGTTAGACATTTTATGAAACTATTTGTGAAATGAATTATGTCAGTAGCCCAAAGCAAGTTTTTGCCAATTTTTGATTAAATAACTGCCAAAAAGTTTAAATTTGTTTGGTTTCGTTTTGTGCGATTTTGTGTTTGTTATTTACAAAGGTCTTGCATTATGTGTTTACATTAAGTTTAGAATAGTGTTATTTTTTAATGTTTTACCTTCGTATTTGTATTTTGACTATTGTTTAAATTTGTCTGCTTAATGAAGAAAGTACGCTTTGAAACTACTTTGAATCACTCTGCCATGAACGACTTGGACTGTCAGTCTCCAAGACCATTTCTTGAGAAAAAGAGTATATCTGATGTACCTTGTATTGAATATGACTTTGCTAGAGCTCTGCCATATAACAGCGATCCTCTACAAAGATATGAGTGTGGTAACGGGTCTCCATACCCTACAATTAACAAGACGTGTTTAACAGAATTATCTAAAATAGAATCGAAGTGGACTCCTTCTAATGATTTAGATCTAAGTTTGTTGGACTCATATACAAAAATACCGAGAAGTGGTTTCCAAGAGCCAAGAATGTTTAAACATCCAACCTCTAATGGACCATCTTGTGTAGAAAAGAACACCTGTAGTAATATCAATGCAACACCAAGAGTACTTTCTTCATTAGAAAATTATCAAAATCCACCCAATGTTTTGAGTAAAAATGATGATTTTTTCTTACAACGTGAGAATTTACATTTAATGACTGGTCAGAAAATTGAAAGTCAGTTAAAAAAACTTACTATAGATAAAGAAAATAATCCTTTGGCTGCTAAAAATGAGCTTATGAAAATAGGTGTAACAAAACCTATGGAAAAAGTTAGTTATAATGGACCAATTCATACTATTGTACCAACTGACCATTGCCAGTGTCATGAGTGTTCAAGACAACAAGTGATTACTACATCTTGTGTGAACAATATAAGACAATATGGTCACATTCAAAATTCTCCAACAAACAAAATTTGTTGTAACAAATTATCTAAGCAGATATCAAATCAATGTGAACAATGCAATTGTAATGTACCTGTATGTACAAAAAACTATAAGAAATGTAATTGTGATTCTTATATACCAGAGCATGATATAAATGCAGTTGATAAGAAAACATGGGCATTGCAAAGATATGAAGAATCAAAAAATGATTTAAATGCAGAGAAACAAATTGTTAAAGAAAAATGCAAAGAAAAGAGAGAACCTTCGGTGGCAGATCTGTTCAAGATTATAAAACTACAAAATGAACAGTTACAACTTTTGCAGGAAAAGGTTGACAAATTTATATCAGCTAGTAAATTTGAAACACAGAAGCAAACATTACCAATACAGAATTACGTAACTGAGCATGTGGCTGTAGAAACCATGGACAAAGAGCACCATAAAATCTCAATAGGTGTAATGACTAGTTTCGAAGTTGTTCGTACATCAACTATCATCAATAAAGAAATATTAACTCAATGTAGTGAGGCACAGATACAATGTAATAGATCACAAATTAGTATTAAAGAAGTGCAGCCTGGTAATTTAAATTTTTTAGATGGCATCACACCAGCCAAAAGTAACAATGAAGGAAAACAAAGATCTTTTCAGAATGAATTACCAGAGCATATAGAAAGCAGCAAGAAAGATTGTAATGAGGACAAAACCTATAATGAAATGAGTTTATACAATGTACAAGTTGACAATGCTATAACTCCACTTATGTCTCCAGAACAGAGCATGTATTTGGATGTAAGAGATTATAGCGAGTAAGTATAATTCTATTATTAAAAAGTTACATAAATATGAAGCAAAATAAACATTGAGGTTTAGTAAGAATCCTAGATTTTTGGCATATATATGAACAGTAAATTTTTTATTTTTACAGTTCAGAATCGGAGCCTGAAGACCAATCCAATGTTGGATGGACATATTACAATAAAGTTATGGTAAGATTTTTTGTATTATATATCTATACTGGGATTGTAAAGAGGAATGATTTGTATTTATGTATGTATGTATTCAATTCACGTAAAAACTACAGGTTTATTTTAAAAATTGTTACACTGTTAGAATGGTAGTTTATCTGTAATATAGGTTATATTTTTTTTTTATCTTCTAACTTCGTCCAAAGATAGTCACGAGATTGAGCTCGTTAATGTTAAAGTTATTCAGTGAAAATAGTCAAGTCATTTTTTTCTGTTTTTTTATTTGTATTTTTAATATTTCAGGCACACGTAAATGGTATGCTACATGATTCAGATATGCCTTCATCGGCCAGCGCTCTGTACAGAAATACACGTCAGAAATGTATGCAAATGAAAATTGACAAAACTAATGTTAGTGTAATAAAGAGGTAAATATCATCATCATCCGTATCCTACTCCCGTAGGGTCGGCGCAACAGGATTTTCTCCTTCACATAACTATAGTCCGTCATCTCAGTCATCACGCCCTTCTTGATCATATCAGCTTTCATATGAACCATCCATCTCTCAATAGGTTTTTTTTATAATATTAGGTGGCAAACAAGCAAGCGGCCACCTGAATCCGCCAAAATGGCGAAGCGACCGCTGATCATAGACATCTGCAATTGCAGATGCGTCGCCTACCCTTATCCGATGGAGGAGGAGGCGCACATAAATAGGATATTTCCTCTTCCTATGCATCTCCTCCATCGTCAAATCCACTTCCCCTTCCCATCCTCTCATAAGAAAAGGGTGGTAAAGAGAAAGGGACTTAAATTAGCCTCCGGCACCACACTCATCAGACGAAACTCGGCATTGGTTCCATTTCACGGCTGTCTTCTGTGTGGTCAGGGTATTACACTGGGCGTGCCGGCCAATTCGTGCTAAGATGTTAAAGCGGGCACTACTACTGTTACACTGTTAAACTATCTACCTTTTCTGGTCTACCCTGTGTAAATCTCATTGGTTTTAATTGTATTTTATTTTTTTAATACAAAATACTTTTTTTTCGTTTCTTATTTACTTTTTAAATTTCCAGAGTGAAGTTTGGTGATGATCCTGTTGTTCCGCAAGTTCAGACTGCTTCAACTGATACTAGTTTGAAAATGAATCAACTTGCAGCAAAGTATTTAAAAAACGGACATGTTAATATTCAGATGGAATCACCTAGACCTGCTGCATCAGTTGACATGTCATTTGCTACCAGAAATTATATGGAAAAACATCAACTACTTCGAGGTTTGTATGTTGCTTTTTATTTACTTTTTTAAACCTTCAAATAAAAGGCAAAAAAATTAGGAATAGGTGCATAAATGATTCCGTTTTTTTTTTATTCTAATGGTATTCGGATAAATTTGCAACATTTGGTATATTATTTTTTTTTCATAATTTTAGATGAAAATATGCAGGTTTTTTATATTTTTTTTCTTTTCAGGTATACCAATAAAATCGAATAACGGACAGATGCCTGTCGAAATCCCACGATTTTTGGACATCACTGCATTGAAGCAACAACCAAAATTATTGTGATTTTTATGGACTTTTTAATATTTTATAAGGACAAAATACATTGTATGATATTGTTAATTTATTAAGTTATGAATAAAACAATGAATTATGGAACAGACATTTATTTTAACTTTAGGAAAAATAAGTCATAATGTCTACATTAAACATTAATTACAATGAAATTCAGGATGATTATTAACAGTTTTATGAAAATAAAATTTAATTCAAACATACAGGTAGGCCTGTATACCATTTTAAAGTACAATAAAGATGTTTCATCAGATTCATCATCATCATCCTCCTTATCCAACTCTCATAGGGTCGGCTCAACAGGTTTCTGTCCTCCAATTGTCTCCTTTCACGCAATTCATCCATCTTTCTAGGTCTACATCTACCGGTGTACCCTTCCACACTCATAACTAACGTTCTCCTTAAATAAAGATATTTATATACTGATAAATATATTTTTTTGGAGGTATTTTCTTGTACTCTGTTATAACATATTCCATTTTTATATCGATGCTCTATTTTATCTACCAGTTTAATATAATAAAAATAAAGCGATTTGGGTTTACAACAAAAATATATTGGTACTGCTTACCATACCATATTTTTAATACAAGAAACATACACGAAAATATTCATTTTAACTCTAAAGAATACATCAATTTTAAATGTATAACAAATTTATTATACTTTTTTTTGCCTACTAGTTAACATTGCTCGAGACAAGTCCAGAAGTCCAAACATTCTAATCATTCAACATTTTGCAGTGGAGATTCGGGATTTATGTGCGGCTTACACTTGACCAGTACAGTTGGTCAGTAGTCAGTAGCGCTTTTATTGGACTGTCAATTAACTGGCAGAGTGTTAACGCTAACAGGCGCCAATGAGTGTCGTTTGCCAACGTAACTGTCCAAGTACTGGTCAAGTGTGAATCGGGCATTGGCTTACGCTTAAATAAACGCGGTACAAAGTTAAACTGTTTAGTTAAATGTAAGCGAGAAATTAAGTTTACACATTTCACTGGTAGTCTATGACTGGTATACATTATCCGTTATTGTCTATGGATTTATGTTGAATCATGTTAGTGTATGAGTCGATATGAAATCTGATTTCAGGCTTAGAAAGGTTGTTTATATAGGTTTATTATTATTTACATTGGAATCGACTACAAAGCGGTAAATATGAAAAACACAAGACAGTAATCGGCGTGGGAGAAGTAACTATAGGTGGGGAACGATAGTACATGTAATCACTTAACGTTAAATTACAACATTAAAAACAAGCTACTTTTAACATTTAACACGAATCTAAACATTTTACAATTCAGTACAGTATAATATAATTTTAACATTTTTACACATAACTATAACAGTTTGGTTCTTTCCTTGGTGAATTCATAAAATAACTAAACACGTTTCTCTAAATAACTACGTAATATTCTAGAAGATTCGATATAATTTCTAATACATATAAAGTCTAACCTATTTACAAAGGTAAGAAACTGTTTACGCTTAAATAAGAATTCAATTCTCTTGCATCGCAATATGTATTACAGGTATAATAATTAACACTAGAAAGATAAACGATTATTTTGGATGGCACTTCTTTTTGGTATCCGAATAACGACAGGACTTGTGTAACGTTATTTTTAATAATAAGGTATCTATTTTAGATCACTTTTTGTCTTCATATAGTTTTAAAAGCACTTGACTAGTTAATTATTAAATAATTTATAAAGGAAACCGTGAGTTAAGTAACATCTCATTTATTACACACTAAAAACAAAATAGAAGTTTTCAGTTAAATACATTTTCCATTAAAATGTTACATGTATATACTTGAATTGTTCTCATACTTACTTAACTCAAGACACCCTTTACTTCTTAAGCTACAATTAAATATTTATTTTCTAATTAAAAAGTTACACTTTTATTATTAATTATTCGGTTGATAGAAATAATAAAATATATCTCTTTGAATTGAATACTGTAAATATAAATTTTCCATAATGCTTTTTAAACCTGTATTTAAAAAATAAATAGAATCTGAGTCTTTTTCTATAAAACCATTTCATTTACGAGTATAATAAATTTTCTTCGTGATTTATTAGTAACATTACTTTTATACTGAAAAATATACTGTAAATTATCTTTGGTATATTTAGTTTTCAATGTTAAAAACGTATTTGATTTACTTAATTTCATAAAAACATCAATATTTATAATTTCCCATAATTTGAGCTTAAGATTGTGCAAGAATTACTTATATTATGTGCGACATTTATATCTTAACAACTTACAAATTAATTAGTAATTTTAGTTACGCTATAACAATATCAGTAATTGAGTTATGTACATGAGAATGATTAAAATTCAAACTTATGTTTACTCATTTTAACTACGCCTACTGTTTTATAAACCTACTAGTGCAACCAATTTTTTTATGGTTTCATTACAAAAATTATCTTGCGGAAAGAGGCTTTAAAAATGATAATATTCAGTTTTCTTTTGTGGCCCATGTGCGTTTATCCGTCAACTCTTAGTAAAAATACATAAAAGCATATAAATTACCGAATTTCTTTTTTATTTTACGTTTTATATTAATTAATTATCAACAACAAATATTACGTTTGCTGTAACATGTACAACATAACAATTCCTAGAACTCGAAGACCTAGGATGGGGGAACGGCTACTATAAATGTGTAACCCCCTTAACTACGCCATGACTTGTATTAAATCATATTGCTGTCCCTGCTATTTCAAAGAGACTGAGAGGGACGACATTATGTTTTTATACAAGTGTTTCAACAGAAACCCACATATATGCTGCATTTAGGAAGAAAATGCTTACAGCGTATCTTCTTCGCCCCCACCTCGTGATTTACTGTCCAGTCTTAGCTCTGCTAGTCTTTGTTTTATGCTGTTGGGCCTGAAACCAGTCATTTAAATACAATGAAAATCTACTTACTGTAATCTTATGACCTTCGGGAGATATTTTTTCACATTTCAAAATTGTTCAAACTTTTACAACGATAAAAGGTTGAAATGGAAAAAGGATCAATCTGAAAGTCTTAACGGAGGGAAACAGTAGAAATAAGATTACGATATAAAAATCAGGTCATCATTAGCACACTATACTTCCCCATTGAGAGGCTCGGAGCCTACCTTACGCTGTGGTTGATTAGGTCTTAGTCTACGAAAAATTAGGTACCTGTCTGTAAAGTATGATGTAACAACTTGATCCGCTGAAACAGACTGTCGTTGGTAGGCACCAGCGCTCAGGTTACTTTGAGGGATCTTGTATATGCGGACGCATCGACCGCTATTCTCTGGCAACACTGTAACACAACAAAACAAAGAAATCATTACACTATCACCTTAAACAGTTTCAATTACGTAGACAATATCAGAATGGTCTGTTATCTATCAACTGAGATCCACATGCCTGTCTAAGAAGTCTGGATTATATTTTAGTAAATCTTCGGATAATTATGGTGTTTTTATAAATGGCAAACCTTGTGGGGAAGTGGGCGGCGAGACGGGCGCCATGCGCTGCAGCGGTGGCCGAATATTCTCCTGCTCCGAGGACACCGAGCTACTGCGACTTGATGCAGAGTTATCTTCCGAGGTACGGTTATTCTGACAAGGATCGCTTCTGAAAATAAAACATGACTTCAAACAACTACAAAACCTTCTATAGGAATAGTGTGTTTACAAGATATATCGATTTTAATGGTCTTATCACAGAGTTAGAACATTTCCTTTATCGGAATGAAAAGAGTAACTATAATAGACGGTATTATTATTACTTGTCAGCGTCGTCATCGTCCACAGAGTAAGTGTTAGGCTGCCTTGT